TCAAATGGTTTGACTTGTGATGTTAAATAAATTAAAAATAATAAAATTTATAAAAAATAAAAAATAACATAAAATTAAATAAAAAACAAAAAAATACAGAAAATAAAACTATCTAAATAAAAAATAATACAGTATAAAATATATAGAAAATATAAAAATAAAATACAAAAAAAAATTAAAAATACAGAAAAACACAAAAAAAAAATCAAAAAATACAGAAAAAACAGAAAAATAAAACAGAAAATTGCAAAAAATACAGAAAAAAAAAACTCTAGAATGTTATATCCTAAAATGCAAAAATCCTTGACCTAAAATCAAAAATCACAGGGATAGATTCCTCTGCCATCAAAATAAAAGGGGAGAAATAGGAGCATTCACTCTAGAATGTTAGATTGCTATGCAACCAAGATTGATATCTAAAAGACTTCAATATACATTAATTTTACCTAAATGATAAAAACAATTACATTAATTTGTACCTAAGCCCCATGCCAAATGCTGCTCCTTAAGGTTCAACCAAGCAAAAACTTCAAAACTCTGTTTTTTCTTCAATTTCTGAGAATTTCTTTAAAACTGCTCCTAAGTGTCCAAACACTCACAATCAATCTCCAAATCTTCTAGAAATCAGGCAATTCAAATAGCATTGACTGGCCTTTTCAAAATTCCATGTCATATGTTCATCATGGAACTGTATGGATTTCATCCCAAAGAATTGTAGAAACTCCTTATAATTTCAAGCAACAAAAATTCTATTCCAACCCAGTACTGTTTTCCTAGATTTCTTCTCAATTAGGCAAATTCTATTCCAGCCCAGCACTATTTTCTAATAATTTCAAGCAACAGAAATTTTCAGTAAGAAAAATATTCATAACAAACTTAAAAATCTAAAGAGATGGAAATGCACCTATCATTTCATGGTTCCAAAAACAATATTGCATCTAACCAGTGTAGAGTAGTGCAACATTCTTTTCCAGAGCTCCTCTTGACCAAAAACATCAAGATCTTCTCACTAAAACAGTTCCTTGGAAATGGTGGTGTGACAATGCCGGTAATGGTGGTGTGACATTGGGCTCAGGCTTGGTCGCAGGCAAATTGTCGCTACAAGTGCTGCTCCAACTTGCAGAATCGCCAATGCCCAATGGTGGCATTACTGATGTCTGCTGCAAGTGCTTCTCCCCGCCCACCGCTGCAAACTAGTCGAACAGCCACTGCAAACTCGCCGTCCGCCGCTGCAAGTGCTAGTCGCCATAACTCTTACTACTGTAAACCCGTTGTTTCCGGTCGCCGTTAATCACCGTTGGTCAGTGTGTGTCGCCGTTAATCACCATTGGGCGTAAGGGTTGAGAGGAGGGAAGGGTTAGAACGAAAATGGGGTTTTAACCCTAAAGGGACTAAAGTTCGATTCTGGGTTGGGGATATTGAAGGCATTATATTATTATTTTTTTATTTAAAACAATGAAAATAAGAAAAGTAACCTGCGAACCGCTGCCCAGGTCGAACGATTTAGCGGTCTGACTGCTTGGGTCAGTGGTTTTCTGACTTTTTCAACGTTTTTTTGAAATTTTCGATTTTTAGTATAACTAGACCCTTGGGGCCAACTGGTTACCGGTTTTTCTGATCCGGTCGTCCGATCCGGTCCGGTTTTGAAAACCATAGTTTAATATTTTTATTTTCTTAAAAAAGACATAAATGACAAAAGTAAGAGACAGCCCATTTCTCACATATATTTTTTCTCTACTTTCGAAAATCAAGAAAGAGAAAAGTTTCTCTTTACTTCTCTTACCCAATCCACACTCATTCCATGTTCATCTTTTCTATATCCTTAATCCATAAAATTAATTTGTACTGCCGTTGGCTCAGATTGTTTTTGCTTATCTTTATTGTGAAAAGTTGCATATTTAGGGAGCCTTCTCCAATGTGAATCGTTTTTCTTGTTGCTATCTTCGTGAAACAAGTCAAAACCATCTGGTTTCAAAATAAATTAATTATTTCTGAAAACAAGAACAGAGAAACATGTTGATTTTTGTTTTCAAATGTTTGAAGAGAAATATTTACTTTTGTTCAAAGGCATGATTTTTTTCAGAAACAAAACCATCTAATTCACTTCTCAAAACATGCTAGAAGACATGATTTTGTTTTTTGTTGATATGGCATTTTTGAAAACAAGTAAAGCAAAAAAAAAAAAAAAACACACACACACATAGTTTTTAAAACCGGACCGGACCAGATGGTCAGGCCAGAAAAACCGGGATGACCGATTCCGTTTTACCCCAGAACCATCTTTTTGGCCAAAAACTGTTAATTTGGTCAGCAAACTGCTGACCTAGGCAGTTGGACCGTTCAAACCGTTCGAACCATCCAACGGTTTTGGCTTTTTATTTTTTTGTCAGAATGGGCCATTGTTTGATTCGAATGGTCGGATCGTTCAACCCAGGAACTGGACCCTGAACGGTTCATTGTCCGATTCGATTTTAAAACCTTGAAAAAACATTCATATTGTATTTTTTTTTTAACAGTCCACAGCCCAAAGTCAAAATTTTCTTTTAACCTTTCTCATGTTAAACTGAGATTTTCAATGATTGAAAAATGGTTATTTTTCTTTTTGTTTTTATTTTTATTTTTATTTTGAAGCCCATAATCAACTCAAATCACAATAGAGATCAGAGAACAAGAAGTTGAGACATGGTGAGTCCCACTTTTATGGTAGGTCCTCCCCAGTCTCACGGTGAGATGCATGTGCGGTGTCACTTCATATTGGTAGCTAGGGAGCTGGAATGTGTTTTAATTTAATTTGTTGGCAGAGATTTCAATTGTAACTTGGAAGGCGTGAAACCATGGGATCTGGCGATCTGCATATGCAAAATCAATGATTGGATAAAATTACGAGTACCAATCAAATAAATAGGGAGATATGAAGCATCTCCGAAATTAAATCAATCACTCTCTTGAACCATAAATAACATATTCTTTTGGACCATACGCTTCTTATCATGTCCGACTACTAAGAGAAATTAAATTGTATGGCCACCATACAATGCAAAATTTCCAAGTTAGGACGTCAATATATTTCATTTCTCAAGTGGCCAAATTGTTGAGATTGAGGGTCCTACCCAATTGCCTATACACATGCAGAATAGAGTCTCCATACTGAGAAGGGTTAGTAGTGCAGTTGGCATCTGCATTATCTGTAACTTAATTTGTATACCAAATAATGCAGCAGAATTAAAGAGTGGATCAGTGTCGATTGTAGGAAGGTTTAGTTATTCAATGCTCATCCAAAAGACTTGGCGCCTCATCCATTAGAACTGGAGGTCTCCACTGAGGATTCCATTGAAATTAAGAACACATCAATTCAACCATGGTTGTCAGTGAAAAGTGCTTTCTGGGTTTCATCCATCTAACAGATTTATGGACATTGACCGAGAAGTAAATGCAAGTATGCAATGCAATAAAGGGGAATAGAACGAACAATTTACAGTACTCTACATCTCTATTTCCGTTTGTGCTCTATATATTAAATCCTTCAATTTGCTGGTAAGATTGAGAGACACTTAACTCTTTCGCAGACCACTTGTTCTTATCTTTTTTTTTTTTTTTTTTATTAAATCCTCTTCAAGCTTCAAGCCAACCTAACCAGAAACCACCATGCAGCACCCGGTTTTGGGAGCTTTATTCTTTATTTATAACAGTTCCGATGCATCTGGGCGATCAGTTGTATGAAGTAACTGGATCCGTTAGCCATAGGCCCTTTCCTCGCTCTAATATTCGATCAACACGTAAGCTTATTAGGTGCATGTGTAGTCTTGGTCACCGTGTTTAATTAGTAGTTCTCATCTTGTCTTACTCTCTTAAATGCTTTCATGTTATTCATCTTTAAAATGCTCGTTTGGGCTTTCATTCCTCACACATCTCCACATTAGCTCTTCTTCTTCTTCTTCTTCTTCTTCTTCTTCTTCTTTATTCCGTTCTGGGAAGACTGGGATTCTCCTAGTAAGTGTATTCGATTGGTAGAGATGGGTTTTGGAAGTTGTGGTCTTCTTGTAAGACTTCTGAGGAAGGCCTTCTATGTTGCACTTACTTGCATCTTTGCATTAGGTACACTCATATATAGCAATGAAGTGCATTCCAGTTCCTTGAGAAAGAGAGAGAGAGCTAAAAACCTTAAGCGCAGCGCCTGAAATAATGATTCTGGTCGTTTTTGCTTTGTTGCAGGAGGGGGCCTTGTAGGAACCGTTACCGGTGCAATCAAAGGCCAATTCACGGAGACCGGGTTCCTCCGTGGGGCGGTGATGGGTGCAGTCATTGGCGCAGTTGTTGCTATTGAGTTGCTTCATTCTTCTTTCATCAACAGTGAAGTTTTCTCTGTTAGTATTTGACTTTATACTTGAATTAATTCGTGTTAATATATTTCTTGTTGCACCCGAGTTTATTTTCCCTCCTTGAACGTACGTATGAAAGAGGAAAAATCAAGGAGCGAAATTTTTTTTCTCTGCAGATGATCCAGGCTCCACAATATTTGGAGCTTGACCTTTGTTTGATTTACATAATATGACAGGTCTGCTAGTCGGGTCGTTCAGTGAAAATATAATAAATAAAATAAAATAATGCCAAAGAGAATGTTATTCTCAATAAAAATATCTAAGTGGCACATTGAGAAAACCAATCTGACGGTTAAAACTTAGAAGTATAAACTGATCAGAGGCTAAGGAGGACAATTAATGCCTAATAAACATCAAGCATGAAGTAGAAACTCATCACAGACTAACTTCTCTCTCTCTCTAGATCTGATATGTATGTGGTCCAATGCACAGGTTGATCTCTTTGTTAGAGGAGTAGTTGAAGGGAAGACCCTCCTTGAATGGGCAAGCCACGAAATTCTAAAGACTTATCAGTGGCAAGTAAGTAGAAAGACATTAATTAACACACAACATACTCTCATCTGATCCAACCAAAAACCTAATTCTGTGACTAAATAATTTCAGATCAGCACGCTATTAGAGGCATATGAAATGGAGATATCAGATATTTCTGATATCGACTACAACAAAGGGTTGCCGCTGAACAAAGTAAGCAAGCTCCCGAAATTCGATTTCACTGGTTGCATGGCGATGGATCCTCGCGATCACATTTGTTGCACAATCTGCTTACAGGTAACAGGCTTTATTATTCTCTGCTTAATTTACTTCTCTTTTCATCCTTCTTCGGTAGAAATATGTTTTAGTGAGAAATAGAAAAAATTTTTTTTTCCATTTGTTTATATATAGTTATAATCTATATAAAATGAATTAATTATAAATTTATGGTATATATTGAATTTGTTCTCGTCGCTTCAAAAAAAAGAATAAAAGAAAATTGTATATGTTCTTGCTAATTATTAAAATCCAGGGTTAAGGATTTAAACTGATTTATGTTATTTATTAAATTTTTGCTAGGATTTGGAGGAGGGAGACCGTGCAAGAAGACTCCCTAGTTGCAGACATCTCTTTCATTTGGTTTGCATAGATGAGTGGCTACTTCAAAATGGATCATGTCCTATTTGTAGAAAAGATGTTTGATGCAAAAGAAGAAATGAAAAAGGGAAAAAATATAACCTTAGGCTGTATTTGGTTTCAGGGGAAAGGTAAGGAAACCTTTACAAACCTTGTATAGGTTTCCCTACCTTTCCTTTCCTTTCCCTACATTTTCCTTCAAACCAAACATAGCCTTAGTGGTTCTCAATCCATTAACTGAAATGGAAAAGGCTTTTCTTGTGGTTGTGGCTGACTGCTGGACACCTTGCAACATTCACGACATTCACTTCCAGTTCTGTAATAATCTAATTAATCGTGAATCCCCCCCTGTTCATAGTAAATGTTGTTAGTAAAATGATATATGAGTTTCATGAAAAACTTCAACTAGCTACTTTCTTGTGAAGCAAAATCGGACTTACAGACCCAACTTGCTGATAAGCTTAGAAACCATAAATTTAACGAGCTGACACATATCCTACATCTTCCGATCCACGATCTTGCTTCTCTTCGACGTGAGGTTCTAATTGTAGTATCCATGCATGGATAAGGGAAGGGATAGTGTTCATTGCAAATTCTGAGAAGCATCTTTCTCTCAACTGACTTGATTGACAAGAAACCCGCAAAGAGAAAAGAGACTAAAAACAGATTTTCCGCAACATTAATTAGTAGGGCTGGGCTGGGCTGTTGATGTGAAGATATCATCTTCTTCGTGGAGGCATATTAATAGAACGAGCTAGTAAGACACTAACATGGCATCGACTTGAAGACACTAGTCACTCCACTCACTTGATAGAATTAATGCATCTATAAATAGGAGATTATCATCACATAAACTCTCATCCATTCCTAGCAACCACACTACCGGATCCAAAGACATGAATCCGATCAAAGGTTTTCTTGGGTTTAGGATTATGCATTGATGAATGTGATATTTACATCCTATTTATAGACTAAAACAGAGATCAAACCTATTTAAACTCAAACTCTTAAACTCTATCTAAGATTCTATATGGTCTATCTTAATCTATCTTAATTCATACACCAATCCTTATCTTAATTCCCTAACATAAGAAACTTGAGAGGATTGACAAACCTGAGAGAGGGATAGTTAAAGCTTAGAGATAAGAGAAAGACAAAATTCTAAAAAGAATGGGTTGAAATTCTCTCATTGATTCAAGTGTACAAAGGTGTTATACACAAAACAATGACAAATAAATTTGGAAGATAAATACAAAGATAGAAACATGTAAACAAGGCAATAGCCCAATTGAATAACTTCCTAAAGAGGAAGTTTCCTCTTTAATCTAGCTAGTCTCTCTATAATAAATACTCTATCTTTAGTAGAAGTTCTTTCTATAGTAACCACTCTATCTTTAGCAGGAGATCTGTCTATAGTAAATACTCTATCTTTAGTAGGAGAGTGGGCTAGAGTGTTGATCTTCTGAGGAAGCAATTGGAAGGGAAGCAACTGGACTAGAGTGTTGATCTTCTGGAGTACGCTGACGATGGAGTGTGTCATCTACCAAGAGAGGTGGTATGTCTGGATTGAGAGTAATTTATGTACCCAAGTTCTTCTTAAGCCAATAAACATGAAAGATTGGGTATAAATGGCAAGCACCCTTCAAATAAGCGATCTTATAAGCAACATAGTTTCAATTTTTTCTGTTAGTATTCTATCGATAGGACTATCTCTCCTCTCCTTAATTCTAGGATAGTAATGTCGATAGAATACTAACATTTTCAATGATCTAAAGGGCTCGAAGAAGTGGACAGAGAGCTTTTGAGAGTGTCGAGAGGTAGTGCTACTTTGCTAGCATGGCTCAAGGTAGAGATACACCCAGTCACCTACATCAAAGGTTCGTTTATATCTGAAAGGATGCTTGGCTTCTCCAAAAATAGTGAAATGAATGTTCTTGTTACTTGGACAACAGTTTGTGTCTGTGTGGAAGGGTCGAGAGTGAGGGATGAAGAAAATTGGCTGCGGAGATGCATAATCAATCGGGGAATTCCAGGAAGGGTGCCTGGAGGTTTCAATCTTACAAAATTGGTTATCTAATGTGTGGAACAATAAAAGTAAGCCAAAGTCAGGCTTTTAGTGGGAGGCTGATGTCTATTAATCTTAGATTCAAAGGTAGAAGCAGGTCGAGTTTCAGAATCATCTCCTTTGCGGTTAGGTGGAAAATTGTTCTCTTTGTACAGATGGACAATAAGCATGGCGATAGGGATGCAAATGGATCGGATCGGATCTAATAAGCAAGGATCTGAATTCAAATACAAGCAAGAAGTTGGATCTTCAGATCTGATCCGATCTGATTTGTTTTCTTTAAAAATTAATAAAAGAAAATTAAAATATATCAATTAAAATAAAGAAAATAAAAAATACAAGTATTTTTTAATTATTTTCATCATATATATATACATGTTTTAATAAAAAATAAATAATATAAAAAATTTACATAAATACAATATAAATAATATATTTATAAATAAAAAATAAAGGTGGAGAGTTCGTTGTTTTGGAATCCCATTACATGAATAGGGGAGAGTAGAGGTGGCAATTGGGCGGGTTGGGTTGGATTTGGTTTGAGTTGGGTTGACTCAACCCAACCCATTTAATCCGCCAACCCATTAATGACCCAATTAGATAAAATTAAATGGGTTGGGTTCAACCCAAACCCACCTGAAGACAACCCAACCCAACCCAACCCATTTAGATAAAATACTGAAAATTACACAAAAATAATAGAAATTACAGGAAATAAAATAGAAATTAAACAAAAACACAAAAATGCATAAAATGAATAGAAATTACATAAAAAAAAATTGAAAAAAAAAACTGAAATTGCATAATTATATAATAAAAATTATAGAAAAACATGGAAAATGAAGGAAAATAACAAAAATTATAAAAAAAAACAAAGAAAAGCTAGAAATTGCAGAAAAAAAAAACATAAATTCGAGAATGATATAAAAAAATCATAGAAAAACATAAAGAGTGAAGAAATATAATAGAAATTACAGACAATATAAATAGCTACTGGAAAAATTACAAAAATTTGTAGAAAAACCACTGTTGGGAAAAATGCCTCTCATCGTATATAAGGATACTTATCGTTTAGATATCTAGCAAACAATAATAGTAGCCCTAACACGAATTTGGACTGGCTCGGCACGATGGTCCACAGATCGTGCCAAGCCTGGCACGATCATGTAGGTTGTGCTAGGCCTGGGGTTTTAGGTCCACGGGCCAGGCCAGCACGGCACGATTGAGTGGGTCGTCAAACCGTTGGGTAGTTTGACCCGGTTGGAAAAGCAGTATTTGCAAAGAAAAACATGGCTTTCAGACGGTTGGGTAGTTTGTCCCGGAAGCCACTTTTTTGCCAAAAATTGTTGAATTGGTCAGCAATTTGCTAACTCAGGTAGTCAAACCATTGATTCGTTCAACCCAAACAGTGGTATTTGGTCTGTTTTTTTTTTATTTTCACTATTATATATTTTTTAAAATTTTTAAACCATCACATGCTAATCCATTCAGACCGGATTAAACCACTAACCGAAACTGATGGCTAAAGTGGTTCCGGTTCTGGGTTAATTTTTTTTGAACATTGAAGAAAAACCTAAAAAACTGTTGAGAGAGTGTATGTTTGCAAAGAGAAACCAATGGAGCTGAAAGAGATGGGGAAAGGAAAGTTAAAAATATCAAGAGGTTAATGGTTACCCGTTGGATAACCATGACCCAACCCACCCAAACCATTATCTTTCCCATTATTGGGTTACCCAACCCGACATGACCCAGAATTAAAAGGATACAACCCAATCCATCAACTAATGGTTGGGTTGGGCGGGTTAGCGGGTTGGGTTGAAAATTTCCACCCCTAGTTTAGAGGCAAGGAGCTAGGAAATGCTCTAGGCAGTTTTGTTGGAATTGCTTAGGAGAACCTCATGTTAAAGGATTTAGAAGTGGTCAAGCTTTTGGTGTAGGCTTTGGCTCCGCACGAGATACCTAAAGCCCTAATGATGGAAGTGCAGAAGGAGGTATTTGTGGTGAGACTTGCGGTTAAGAGCCCCGAGTCCCTAGCTATTTGGTCAAGCAAGGGCTTTAGGTGGGTGGTTATGGAATCTGGGGATAGATCATTAGGGGAGTATTTGTTGGCAAGTGGGGACAGAGCTATTCAAGAAGATGAGACCCCATTCACAAGGAACTGGCGAACAAAAAAGGGAGGGGGCGGTTCAAAGAGGTAGGTCTTGTGTGGTCTGTAGAAGTCGCTCTCATCGGTACAGGGTCTCAGGCAAAGGAGGGAGAAGAAGACAATGATCTTTGGTACAGCCATCAAAGAGAAACATTTCCTTGGTGTTGGTTCCATTTGGAGGCAGAGGAAGAGGAGGGAGGTGTGGAACCCAATATGATGTCAAATTCAACTTTGAATTGAGGCACAAGACAGGAAAAAGCAAGGAGTTTGTTGGAGCCCATATTGTTAAGTGGGACCAGTTTTGGACAAGCAGGTTTTTTTTGGGCCCAAGAGGTGGGCCAAGTTGGGGTAGATGGTGCTAGACCACTGTTAAGCTCTGGGAGTCACACTGATGTCTAACCGGTAGTTCCCGTAGTGTTGATCTAGGATGATAGTGACATGTATAGAGTTAGTTAGGGGTAATTTGTAGGTTCTGGTTTTGGTGTATCTTTGTAGCCTCTCTTTGTCTTTCACATCAAGATGCAAATTAAGTTTGTATGGTGTGGATGGGCTTTCAAGTTTCAGCCCTGGTTTGTTAGGAGTTTTTTTTTTTTTTTTTCCTTTTTCTTGTTTGTTCGGTCTAGGTTTTGTTAGTGGCTAGTTTTTTGGTGTTTCGCTTGGTAGTTGTATTCTTTTTTTTTTTCTCTTTAATAAAATTTTTACTCTTACCTTCAAAAAAATACCTTTTCATTTTGTGGTGGGCCATTTTCAGTTATTCTTTCAGCTTAGCTATCACCTAGTCTCATTCCTTGAGATTTTGCTCCACTGTCACTACTTTTGTGGTTCTTGAAATGTAGGTCAGTAAGGTGGAGTGTGGTATTCAATAGAC